CTTTTGAATTGGACATCTTCCTAAATAGCTTCTGGGACCTCACTGGGTCCCGTCATCCCAGGGGAACCATGGTGGGCCTGGAAAATGCAAGTCTAAGACTTGATTATGCATTACCACCCACCCCTTTCTCCCGACAGATTGCCTTTAATGATTCGCTTTGAAATCGATTTATCTGCAGGGATTTAATATTTGGACATTGGTGGAAAACGACTACTACCACTGTATGATGATTAAATAATCATAAAATTTGTCAGTGACTCATCCCTAACCCTGCCAACAGCACGGAAGGGATATAGCAGTGAAGTGAATTATTTTATTACAGTACAGTACCATGGTACTTACAACAATCGGATTTCAATCCTCGAAACAACTTTACACACCGTCTTTTCTCTGCTTTCGGGCAATTTGGCTATTGGCCAAACGCTCAATATATAAATTCGATTACAATGAATGAGAAAAAAAGTATTTATAAAAAATAAGACAAAACCTAGAAATTTTAAAAAGACGAGCGAGAATTATCGTATTCTTTTTATTGTGTCAGTGCAACTAAGCCATGCATATCATAACCTTATGGGCTCTTTTCTATGCATTCGGTGTAGTGAAGATACAAAGTAGAACCCCTCATCAGGCCTTTATTGAAGAACTTTAATTTTGTCTGTCTCTCATCGTAACACCTGGGGCTTATCTCCGCTGATTTCGCGATAGCAGCCGTTAAAATGTTATCAGCAAAAGTTTTAATTGAACCCCACAAATTGCGTTATCATCGTTTGTGTGTGCAATCATTTCTTCTGATTCGTCGCTATGGTTACGAGAGCACGAGTTAAAAAGTTATGGCCGAGGCTCAGTGGCTCGCGTGATGAATGTGATTTGTGACCGGAGATCAATTCGCCTCGGGAACACCACTCAACTAAGGAAATTACATATTCTTCGCATGGTGTAGCCCAGCACATATGGTGACATACTGTATTGTTTTAAATAAATTCAAACCGTTTAGAGACTTTTCATTGTCCTCATATCCATATAGTAAGCTATAATAATTATTATTATTTCCAGGACCACAATGAAAAACATTTCTTTAAAATGATTGTGTCATCCTGGCTAAAGATATTAGTAAATAAATAAATAAATAAATATTGTAAAAATTAAATGGGTAATCTAAGAATCAGCGGTAGTCATAATATAGCCACAACAAATACAATTTTCAAAAAATTATACCTTTAAGTAGTGGGTCTGTACTCTATGGTTTTCTTAAAATAGGTGTAGGGAATTTATTATCAAATTCAGTTTTAACTTGCAATGTAGGCCTACGAAACAGTTTAACTTATTTAAGTGGAAGAAAATAATATGTGAATGTACAGAATATGGACTATTAACCATGGGATTTGAATGTAATTAAGCCTATAAATTAGGCGATATAAATGTATTAATTATTATTGTCCAAGAAGACATGGGGGCCGGAGGCAAAAAAGAAAAAGAAATTGTTGATCACCCAAAAAGTTATTTCCGGGCGTCTACAAAACAAACATTTCCCGGGTGAATACCCCGGGGACCCCCCAGGGTCTCTCGATTACCCCCCCCCCCTTCGGACATGGCATAGGTTTTCTAGCTCCAATAGTTAATTTTAAAATTGTAAGATACTTACCAATATTGTTTTTGTATTCATTGTTTAAACGGTTTTTTTCACATGTTTCCGTTGTTTTGCAGGCCAGTTATTAACCTCGCTATGTTTGTGTGGCTGTGTGTCAGTGAATGATTCCGTGACAACAGCAAATTGTAGGGGACACCCGACATCTTAAGTGTATTGTTTTGACGTTTAAGCAAACTGAGTCACAAAATATAAAACTTTATGCGCTTCCACTTACCAATACAATGTCGTTACACCTCGCGTGCAAAGATTCTATCTCGGCTTTCATTATTGTCTTTTGTGCGATCTTTCATGCAAAAGTGATCAAGGACAAGCGCTGGACCTATTGTCGAGCTGGAAATCTCTTCTTTACAATTTGATTTCTGACAAAATTGAAAATCAAATCAACACGACGTTTTCAACAAGAAATTTCAATTAGGTTTTAATGGAGTCGACTCGTTCTTAAAAATGGGGGAGGGTTGGCCCTATCTAGTAAGCGAAGCGGGGTTGCACCTAACAGGATGCGACCCCCGTGAAGTTTGCCTCCCTTACTACTCCCTTACTTACTTTGAAAGACCTATAAAATTATTCTGAAGTACCGGTAATCCCTATTATTTATTCTCCTGTAAATGGGTAGATGTTCTAAATTCTTTTTGGAGGGATCGTACCCCTTAAAATATCAGTAAAATGTCGATGGATGCTAGCGTTTACCGGTACCGTACCGTACTTCTTTAGCTAGATTGTAAAAATTCCCCTTGAATCTATTACACAAAATTGGTTCATTCATAGTGGTGGACCCAGGAATTCAATATAGAAGGTCCCCGGGGAACACCTTTTACAGATAGGGGATCTATGTCACCTCAGCCTCACCAAGGTTTGGACTGAAATAGGAAAATTTGTGATTATGACACCTCTAGATGGCCGGAAATTGCACTCTCAGACCTAAAATTTGAATATAAATGTCTTTATATCTCCATTAAAAAAAAGTTGAACAATTTAGGAGGAGGGGCCGGGCCGGCTTCCCCCCTCCTTGAATCCGCCGCTGATTCATTTACTGATTGTACGTTCTTCGACCAATCACAAGTGTAACTGTCATGCCGGTTTCTTTTTACCCATTTTTTGTGGTTGAATGGCCTACCTGCCCTCGGCATGTGCTCTCGCTTCATTGAAGCTGAAAATCACAGTTTTCCCGTCCTCCAAAATAACCAGAATCGAATAGCGTACCTGCACTGATGCCATTCTTGGCTCTTTCCCATGCTTCAAGGCGACCAATGCGTTGTCCCACGGCCGTCCTTCAATTCTCCTGTAACATTATTTCCTTTTATATCGATTGTAAATAGATTCATAGCCAATATATGTGTATTTTTAGTTCAGATATTCATAATTTGTAAAACGTGCTCAACAAAGGTGCATTGAACAAAACAGATTTTCTTTTTCTCAGGATAAAGTGTGTGAGAAAAAACTTCAATGCCTGAGGCATTTTGGATTACTGACAAATGGTACTAATTGTGATAGGATTTATATTTGTATGGATGATTATATTGTTTAAATTCATAAATTGTTTAATCATAAAACTCTAAATAAAGGAAGGCCTTTATAAAATTTTAGTCCAAAATCGATAATTCTCTATAATGCAGGCCTAAATCTTACAATTATCTGAACAATTATTCTCAAATATTAGTTTAAACAATTAATGATAATAGAAAGTGCAACCCTTATACTTTACTGTATTACTAAGCCAAGTGGTTTATAAAATTGAATAAACTACCGTATCAACTGATACAGTTCTGTCCAAAGTTTACTAATCAAATAGAAAAACCATGCGCCAAATGTCCACATTGGCTATGCCTACACAGGCGAGTAATAAACGAAACACATAATTTGTGGGCGCGAAAATTAATTCGTAAAGCTGTTAAGTGATGGGCTATACGTTTTTCACTTATATACTAGTGATCACCTGAAGCACTAAACGTCTCCTGAAAACCTTACACTCTCCAAAAAATGGAATTTAATATGGCATGCGACGACATGAACTATAATAACTGTATTACTCAATTCAATATTTGAATTCTGAAGTCAGGTATAACGATAAAACAAACAACTTTTGAGAATAGATCAACACGGATTTTAATAAACTGGGAAGCCGGAAAATCACGACTATACTTAAAATACGCTAATTTAACATTTAATGCGATAGAAATGAAGAAATTATAACAGGTTATACCAGTAGGGTAAAACTTCTCATTCTTTGTAGAGGGCGCTGTTGACAAAATATCACTCGTCAGTTCGCTTTTCATAGATAATTTATTTTCTATCCTACTATAAGGTAGATTGTGCATAGTATTGCTCTAAGTAACATTAGAAAAATGTTCTAAGGTAGGAATGTAATGAATACTTAGTAGAAATGCTCAATGAAATGTGTAGTATAGGCTACTCGAAAGGAGAAAGAGATGTCAATAATATTGCAAATGATTTTTCTTCAAATGCAGAAGTGGAGCCGTATCGGTCAATTGTTTTAATACTGAGGGGGAGGTGGAATAGGGAAGAAAACAAATTCTACAAAACCACATCCACGTACTCGTACTTTGGGAGCAATGAAAATAAAGCAAAATAATCAAGAACATTCAATAACTAAGTTCCGGCATTCACAATAAGACAAAAGCAAGACCGATGACGCTACGATTGTTGTAGTAATGTCATCTATCGAATTGTATTATAGTTTTAATTTTTAATTCATTAAATCAAATTGTATAAATACGCGTGGAAATTATATAAATTCACGTTGTAGTCTGCGCGTGCGGTCAGTTGGCGCGTGCCACGTCACGGGATAAAAGTTTTGATTGAGCACTGTTAGGCGCGTTAAGCCTAGTTTCCTTAAAATCGTTACACTATCGCTACAGTGTTTTCAGTGCAATCGTTGTACTGCGTACAGTGCAATCAAGAAGGCTCCCCGATTCGACCGACATTCGGCATTTACCGAAAGCTGTTGGTGATAGCGTGTAGCGATTGTATGGAAACCAAGCTTTAAAGCAAACGCAAGCTACTCGTCTTAGCAACTACTAGGCGTAGTTGTCACTCCTGCGTTCGCGTCCAACGGGTGTAAATATTGCTCTAGTTTGAACCATGCCTTAAGAGTTCAAGATGTTTAGGTTAAAATTTAAACAGAAAACGGATGCAAAGCTATAAACAATTTGTGAATACATGGGTTATGTCCATCCTGTCCATCAGTAGGATACAATTATTACGGTAGATTTTATATAAAACAAAAAGACAGTAACTCCGAAAAGAGACAGATACCGTTTAAGATTCAGGGTTTGAATTCAGGGTCTGAGAGAGAGAGAGAGAGAGAGAGAGAGAGAGAGAGAGAGAGAGAGAAACAACATCTTGTGATGGGCAGGCCTGAATAAATAAATAAATAAATAAAGTAAATAAATAAAAATAAACAAATGATCAAATAGATCGAAACGTTTAATCTCAAAATATCTCTGATTCTTTTCGGAGTTACTATCTTTTTGTACTATTGATTATTGTGCTTAAACAGATGTTATTTTAAATACAGATTCAAATGATCTATTGAAACTGTTCAAAACTACAGGATCCCTCAGTGATCGTCGTGGTGGTCTCAGCCGCTGTCGACCCGTCTGTGACGAAGTTACCGTAAACCCATCCATCGGTAGGTACCCAATTTTTCCTATATGATGGACATCCGTGTTTATATCATGTGATACATACGTCAATTCATGACTGGCCGGCGCCGACGTGGATGACATTCGGCGCAATGAGTCTTTAAACCGACAGATATCACCGTTCATTGAAACTCTTCTAAGTGAACGCGTACCACACCAGCGGACCTCCGTCAACTTGGATTTACTCTTACAGAAATAAACTTGGACAGCGAGGAAGCCGGAGATTTCTGATAAAGTTAGGCCTACCCCTGCAAAGTATAATGACCATCCCCAACGATAGACGAAAACAGTGTCAAAGGTTGACTCTACTACAGATGCTCCCAGCTCGTCGTTAACGCCGCAGATATATACCAGCAGTCCAAACATACTAATCAGACCTAATATTAGTAGAATAAGATAAATAAATAATATTTAATACAGTATTGATATAATTAAGTTGATCCCTAATTCTCAATCTATAATTAAAGGCCCACTTTATGTTGATTTGTATTCTGATTGTTTAGTAGTTTGGTGGTTTACATTTAAGATACACGATTTTGCAAACGGCTTAACCAACGGCCCAGGCCTGAGCAATGCCGGTTTCGTTGAAAACTCTTTTCACACTCTTTGCTCTATATATGTGGGAACAGCACTAGCGCTCGACAAAAACACATGAAATTGAGTAGGAAACAGTGGCTGGATCTCGGTAGAGGTAGATACAAAATTGATAAGCTTCAATTGTAGTAACTCGGAAATTTATGCAACTCATGTGGCCTTCATCAGCAAGAAATTTAAACCGTGAGCCTGAAAACCATAGGCAAGCTGAGCTGTTTTATATAATTAAATATCTTTGAAACAGACTTGCTTCGGTAGTGCATTAAACTGATCACAGGCAATCCTATCTAATAAATGAAGTCTATACTTACGATTTATTGGATCGTAGATGCTGTCACTTATACACATCT